CGTAGCCATCCTATTATATATTAGCACATTTACTTCAAATATTTTCCGGTAGGATCCCTTCTTTTACTAGGATGTCCTTGGTGGCCATCGCCATACCAAGGTTCATTATGAGTATACCCATATCCTGCAGGTTGAAATCTAGCTTGATAGTCGGTTGTTTAAGCACCATTTTAGTGAACCGAGCGTACCCTACGGCTAGACTGGCGACCACGGTGGCGTGGTATGCGTCGTTGACATCTTGGGAACAACACGGCCAAACTGGACGCGATAGACGATCACATCGCCCATGAAAAGGTCAAACTCGGTGAAACGGAAGATGAGTCTCTGAGAGCCACCATCGAGGAACGAATACGTAATTTGGAAGAGGAAAGAAGGACCCGCCTGGAAACGGCATCCTCCTTCCGAGACCAGCTACGATCCCAGATCAGCAGGATCCTCTACCAGGACACAACGCTAGCTGACAGGATCCGAATCCTCTTCCGAGAGCAAGGGATTACTATCGCCAGCATTCTGACTGCATTGGGCTTCATCATATCATCCCTGGTGGTTTCACTGAGTGGGGGTTCCCCCACGCCTGCCGGCAGCAGTGGCACACCAACACCCACAGGTGGCGTCAAAGACTTGATAAAAAACAACCTGAAATCCCTCGGGGAAGCCCTGGCTAAACTGGCTGGTAAGGCCGCCGAAGCCCTGCCCGGCATCCTGGGTAGCATCGTCTTGTGGCTGCTAATCGCTCTGGCTAAAACTGCCACGTGGCTTGGTCAAAACCTGTGGGCAGCCATCGTCGCCGTGGTGGGTTTGGTGTATGTAGCGGCTAAGGAATTTTAACCAAATGAGACCCAAACCGACCGCTACCCCACCAACCACCAGGGCTGTTTTACGATCGATGTGCTGCTGATCGGATTGTGAGGGCTGTGGGGATGTTGGTTGAACCCTGGGCTCCGGGGGTGGTGCCACTATACCCGTTTCACCGGCCGTGGGTGGCAGGACTTGGGGGGTGTTTACATCGGGGTTGACACCCAACTTTTGGTCAGCCGTGGCTATGACTATTACTCTCAGTTGCATATCGCTCGGAGCCATGCACAGTCCCACGTCGAAGACGTAGTCGACTTTCGACCGGGCGTATTCCAACACGCCTTGGTAGCGTTTGATGGCACTCGGGAAATCTACTGGAGCATTGATAGCATTCTCAACGTTAACAACGAACTGTTTCTGAGCGTCGTAAGCAGTCCCCTTACCGAGGATGTTGGAACGCGTTTGCGTCTGCGCACCCAACAGCGCCCACACGTACGTTCGAATCGAGTCATTCAACCTGATTACACCGGCACGAGTAAACCCTCACGACGTGTCCAACATGAACTTTTTCCAGTTATCTGCTGCCCCCTGCTCGAACCTCTAGAGGTTGTGAGGTGATGATACGACTTGTACCCCCATTCTTTCATCTTCTCGCTGGCATCCACGAGGGGCATGTTGTGGACGATGGGGATACTCAACCCTTGGTTCGGTCCCGGCAAACGCCAATCCGTCTTCGGGTTTAGTTCGAATTCGTTGCAAATACGTTCGTAGGCCCGTCCATCGTACTGGTTGTTTACTGCTTTCCACGCTTTGTCCTGTGGGAGCGGGGCGCTGATCTCATTGACGATACGTCTGATCTGCTAGTACAAGTAGAACGTGAACACAGACTGACTCACCGGTCCCCGCCGAGTGTCGGTCAATGTCACACCACACCCCGTTGTAGCGCATTACATGGCGAAGTTGAGTTGATTCTACCAGAACTGCATCGGGTTGTTGAACCAAGCGTGGACTGCCTTAGCGTTAGTCACTGAAAGCTTATACCAGTCGAACACATCTATAAACTGGGCGTCGAAATACAGCCCATCAGCAACCACGATCTTGTACGGGAAATCTATATCTAGTTTAGGGTAAAACACTCCAGGGGAGTACATTTTAAAACTATTATATAATACGCATATATACTCTAACATGTACATAACACTTCCAGGAATAACGAGCGGCGAGGCCGTTCAGCTGATGCACGCGATCGATAAAACGTCGGGTCAACTTGAAGTCGCACTCTGCGATATCACCTACCTACCGCGATGGACTAACATCAACATCAACAACAATAAGCTGTTCGTCAGTTGAGCTCGCAGCCAGATAACTGACGGCTACTACAGCGTGTGCTCGCTAAGCCCCTGGGAACCGAACTCAAGATGAACGACTCAAACAGCACAGTGGTGTTAATCAACAACGGAATAAACCCCTTGAGTTTCGGCTGGCCATTGGCGAGGACACTCGGTATGCCGCCTGATGAGATAAAACCAACAACTACCGTCACAGGCACGAAGTTACCCAACCTAGTACTGTACCGAGATCTGTGCATTCATTTCGGCCAGGTGAGCACAACTGACAACATTCATGGGGGTCACCCTTCCACGATACTGCGAGCTGTACCGGTGAAAACGGACAAATACAAAGACGGCAGAACCGAGTCGTTTTCACCGCGGCAGTATAAGAGGTTAACTCGGGGCAACATCCCTGAGCTGATAATATCGGTGTTAGATATAAATCATAACCCGGTGAATATAGGATACCTCAGCATAACGCTTCACATAAAATGATCAGCGCACAAGGCCCTGGAAAAATGCATCAATGCGGGGATCTCCGACCTCGGGGACACACGCGGTTTCGACGACCCCGGAGTAGATGGTAAATTGTACGCCTGGCAACTGAAAAAGAACATTTACAAAAGCGTTGAAGTCCCCTTCGTTGGAGCCCTAGGTGATATAGTAGATACCACAAGAGCGGTCGTCAACACTCGGTACGCCCTAGTCAACACGGGTGATGATAAATGGATAGTATACCCATCGTTCGGGGGGCAAACTGTTCGACTTAGAAGATGTTGAGAGCACTACCGTCGCCAGAAACAAGCCATATACGCTCGTCTTCACTGAAGATGACAAGTGGGTGTTATTACCCGCTAAAGGTGACTGGTTTCTCAATATTAGGCTCGGCTCCCCCTACGTGTTCACGGATAACAAAGACAACTACCTAAACAAAGTCGTGAACAACGGAACCCTGCTCGTGGCTCGTGGCAGCATGTTAGCTTCCAGTGGGCAGGTATAGATAGAGCTCAAATTACTCGATTACCATGAGGATTTTAGAGATGTCGCGAAAAACTTCACACTCATCATAGACTTCTATCTCGGAGAGGTAGGGGTTTGGCCATCTAGGAATTAAAAGTATCTGTTTTAGACAAAAAACATAATCCTGTGAATACAGGATACCTCAGCGTGATGCTGCACATACCATAATGACAAGCGCCCAAGGTCCCGGAATGCGATTGAAAAAATGCGTTAATATAGTGGTCTCCGACCTCGGGGACAAGAGAGGATTCGACGAACCAGGAATAGACAGTAAACTGTATGCCTTGCAACTGAAAAACAATGTTTACAAACACGTCGAAGTCCCCACCGTCGGTGGATCTGGCAGTAACTTAGACGATATCATTAATACATCAAGAGCTGTCAGTAACACTCGGTACGACCTAGTCCGCAATGACGAGGATGAATGGATGATATAACCAGCGTTCGGAGGCAAGCTGTTCAACTTAAACGACGTCGAGACCACGGTCGTCCTTCGAAGCAAGCAGTATGCCCTCGCATTCACCGATGACCAAAAATTGATTTTAACACAATCTTGAGTTGACTGGTTTCTCAACATCATGCTCGGCTCTCAGTACGTGTTCACTGAAAACAAAGACCACTACCTAAACAAAGTCGTGAACAACGGAACCCTGCTCATGGCTTACGTCCCAACGCATAGGCGCAGTGTAATCATCAGCACAGTCTCAAGTATGGCAGCCCACATGCTATCGAGTAAACCCGGGGAGCGAGACGTGGGGTTGCAGGTGGTGTCTGAATTCGAGGGCGTTGTCAACATCCTGGAAAGTCTACCGGCGAATTCCACGCTGGTCATCCAAGTCTACCTCGGTGAACCATCATCACCAGTCGAAATCGTGAAAGGAATCAAACTCCGGTGGACCAAACAACATCAATATCGCGTTTGTTCGCGGGTGAACGTGGATTCCCACACCAGTCTGCAGGGAGTCACCGTGACCGTGGAAGACACGATATCGCTCACCAAAATTTTCCTATCCGACAACATAAATCTCAAGGGGTTGAAGTGCACACCTGAGAAATTATCAGAAAAACAATTGGAAACTATTTCATAACTTTATATAGACGATGAATCATCATCCCAACGTCACACTCGGTGATTTAGGAGACACGGAGGAGTTCGATCTGCCTGGTGATGAAAACACCTGGGACGTCCTATATTTGAAAGACAACGTGTACGAGCGGGTGCCGCTGGCAGACTTTAAAGAGCCCGAATGGTTGATCAACGTGACCCTCACCGCACCTTACATCTCTTTAAACAAAAATAGGTATGTCTCCGAAATTAGGAACAACGGCGTCTTTCTCGCGTCTTTCATTCCGAATTTTGATAATATAATGGTTGACCAAGTACCACATCATACGTGCAACATGTTAGTTTCAAACGGGGATTCAAATTTAAGGTTCGACTTACCTGATCACCTATCAGATCTTATGACTATGAAACCAGGCTCCACACTGATCATAGAAGTCTTTCTAGGACACGCTGCTAGTTGGAGTGGTTCAGACCGATAATTTATAGCTGGGTTGACAATACATTGTGAAGAGGGGGCCACACGTTGCCGTATCGTCATAAAACTGGGATCGGAACCTTTACTGAGATTTATAAGTCTCAAATACACTGAACAACCATTAAATAAAACACAATTAAAAAATCTCTTATAAAATATGTACACAGGATGGGGCTGTACCCAGTCGTAGAAGAAGTAGCGAAAACCAAAGAAATCATAGGAGACTCACATTAAATTGTTTGGCTGAGATCAACATTATTTACATTTTAGTTTATTGATGTGAAAATTTACTGCTAGGACAAACAACACTTACCTCCCTGTCGAGTGATCACAATTGTTCACGTGACCAGGAAGTGTTGGCTTGAGTCATAAGCCGCGTGACCAGGAGAGTGCCGATTCGCGGTCATAGTGACCAGGAAGTTGGCTGGGGATTCAAAAGTGGTATGCACACTAGCGGAGAGAGATAAGGGCCTGATAAAAGCTTTATTTAATAGAGTCTTTCGTTGAAAGTGATCTCGTACCATCACTCTGTATATTACTACTGCTCATCTGGAATTTAATGAAGTCTTTTATATCATAAAACCAAGAAGTCAATTACAATCCCACCAGGTTAACAAGCTAATGACAATCTCTTCAGGTTAACAAGCTAATGACGATCTCTCCATGTCAACAAGCCAATTACAAACCTACCATGGGGGGGGGGGATGACTGAATAGAAGGAATCTGTTACCTGCGAGCAGAAACAGAAACAGAAACACGCCATTGAGTCATTGAGTGTTGTAACATATCCCCGATTCCCCCCCCAACAGAAACATACACATGATCCAAGGATGTCAAACGTGGATGACCTCCCTTCACTTATTCCAACACTACTTCTAAATGTTGATGCTGATATGTCAGCTGTTAAAATACATGTAATGAATTGGAGTTAATATACATGCTTAATAAATCAACAAATATTAACATATGTTGGTATATTATGATCATCAACACGAAGATGGTTTCCAGTAAGTCTTCACTCTGAAAGGGAGAGCAGATAAACAAGAAAGATCATTACCATTTAATTCCATGATATAAGCACCTTAATATACCACATTTACACAGTGAAAATATATTTACAGGAAAATAGAAATGCATTGGAATATCTGGCCAAAGTAATCTGTTCAAACAGATTTTCATTAATTGTATGTATAATGCTCAGATTTATTTAAGTATTAAGTATCTGTTGAGAGGTAGACACTTAGAACTGTATATCCCGAGGTGAGGTGAGGTGAAATTGGGTTTAACGTCATGCTTGAGAATATTTCGCTCATAAGACGACGTGCATACGTGTATATGTGTGTGTGCGGCTGCTTGTACTAGCCCAGACTGAAGCTGGTTTTATAGTGCTAGCCCACTGAGATACCATGCCGCAGTGACGCATGAATACCCCACTCAGACACATTATACCGACTCCGAGCCGACCAGTCCTTGTTGTACCCATTTATGCCGAGCGCCAGGCTGGGACCAACAAGTACCATATTTTAACGTCTTTTGGTATGACGCGATCGGGGATCGAACCCGCGACCTTCCGCTCTCCGGGCAGACGCTCTAACCACTACACCACGGAGACGGTCAACGAGATAGGTACTATCACAGCTATGTTTCATCAGATGCCATACACTTGACATGAGTCATGGCTTCTGTGCAGTGTTTGACATGTCCTCTCTCCGTTTCAGCTGGCCCAGCAGTGCCTGCATGTGTTTATAGAGCTTGTCAAGGTAACACTAACTATATCCCAAACTCTCACACTGTGAGCCCTGGCATTGACTCGATAGTATACCCATTATTGTTTGTGGGTCCTCCATAAAGACAGCAAGGTGCAAGTTGGGCTTGTAGTAGCTCAGCAAGGGCTATAGTCAATGTTTATAAGTAACTGCGAGTAGTGACTCACTAGACAATGTAATATGCAAGGTACATCTTGTATTGACAATCTTTTGTCCATCATTTGCAGCCGTTTATCCGGATTGTTCCAGGCCTTGTGATCGGAGGTGAGAAGAGGAAGGCAGAGAAATCCAGGTGCTGTACTTGATACTTTGTTGGTGTAGTTACAACCAAGTGATGCAGCTATGACCCTCCTTTGAGGTGTTGCTATAGGTACTACCTAACACTTTAGCTGTAACACTCATCTGGTGGTGTTTACTACTGTGTTGTTGCTACTGTCACTTCTCAGTGTTTCAGCTGTAAAATATCTTTCTTGTTTGTACAGTAACTATCCATTGTCTCAGCTGTAAAACCCCTTTGTTGTTGCTAATGTAACTACCCATTGTCTCAGCTGTAAAACCCATCTTTTGTTGCTACTGTAACTACCCATTGTCTCACCTGTAAACCCCTTTGTTGTTGCAACTATAACTACCCATCGTCTCAGTTGGAAACCTCTTTGTTGTTGCTGCTGTAACTACCCATCATCTCACCTGTAAACCCCTTTCTTGCTGCTACTATAACTACCCATTGTCTTACCTGTAAAACCCCTTTGTTGTTGCTGCTGTAACTACCCATTGTCTCAGCTGTAAAACCCCGTTTTTATGCTACTGTAACTACCCATTGTCTCAGCTGTAAAACCCCTTTTGTTGTTACTACTATAATTACCCATTGTCTCAGCTGTAAAACCCCTTTTTGTCTTGCTACTGTAACTACCCATCGTCTCAGCTGGAAACCTCTTTGTTGTTGCTGCTGTAACTACCCATCATCTCACCTGTAAAACCCCTTTTTGTGTTGATACTGTAGCTACCCATTGTCTCACCTGTAAAACCTCTTTGTTGTTACTACTGTAACTACCCATTGTCTCAGCTGTAAAACCCCTTTGTTGTTCCTGCTCTAACCACCCATTGTCCCAGCTTTAAAACTCCTTTGTTGTTGCTGCTGTAATTACCCATTGTCTCAGCTGTAAAACCCCTTTTTGTTGCTACTGTAACTACCGATCGTCTCAGCTGGAAACCTCTTTGTTGTTGCTGCTGTAACTACCCATCATCTCACCTGTAAACCCCTTTGTTGCTGCTACTATAACTACCTATTGTCTCACCTGTAAAACCCCTTTGTTGTTGCTACTGTAACTACCCATTGTGTCAGCTGTAAAACCCCGTTTTTATGCTACTGTAACTACCCATTGTCTCAGCTGTAAAACCCCTTTGTTGTTACTACTATAACTACCCATTGTCTCAGCTGTAAAACCCCTTTTTGTGTTGCTACTGTAACTACCCATTGTCTCACCTGTAAAATCTCTTTGTTGTTGCTGCTGTAACTACCCATTGTCTCAGCTGTAAAACCCCTTTGTTGTTGCAACTCTAACTACCCATTGACTCAGCTGTAAAACCTCTTTGTTGTTACTACTGTAACTACCCATTGTCTCAGCTGTAAAACCCCTTTGTTGTTCCTGCTCTAACCACCCATTGTCCAAGCTTTAAAACTCCTTTGTTGTTGCTGCTGTAATTACCCATTGTCTCAGCTGTAAAACCCCTTTGTTGTTACTACTGTAACTACCCATTGTCTCAGCTGTAAAACCCTGTTGTTGCAACTGTAACTACCCATCGTCTCTGCTGGAAACCCCTTTGTTGTTACTGCTGCAACTACCCATTGTCTCAGCTGTAAACCCCTTTGTTGTTGCTACTGTATCTACCCATTGTCTCACCTGTAAAATCCCTTTGTTGTTGCTACAGTAACAACCCAGTTTTATCGCCGTTAAACCTGTTGTTGCTGCAATAACGTCTTGTTGTGGCAGGTGTAAAACCCTGTTGTTTTTGCTGGTTACAATCTAACACAGCAGCTGTAACCACCATCTCTCTGGTTGCAGCATACGTAAGGGCATCAACATTATGGTTTGCACACCTGGGCGACTGGTGGACCACCTGGAAAACACAGCCACTCTGAGGGTGGACAGGGTGGAATTCCTCGTGCTGGATAAGGCAGACAAGTGGGTACACAACCAGTCTGAGGGTGGACAGGGTGAAATACCTTGTGCTGGATGAGGCAGACAGGTGGGTACACAGCCAGTCTGAGGGTGGACAGGGTGGAATTCCTTGTGCTGGATGAGGCAGACGGGTGGGTACACAGCCAGTCTGAGGGTGGACAGGGTGGAGATCCTTGTGCTGGATGAGGCAGACGGGTGGGTACACAGCCAGTCTGAGGGTGGACAGGGTGGAGATCCTTGTGCTGGATGAGGCAGACAGGTGGGTACACAGCCAATCTGAGGGTTGACAGGGTGGAATGCCTTGTGCTGGATGAGGCAGACAGCTGGGTACACAGCCAGTCTGAGGGTGGACAGGGTGGAGTTCCTCGTGCTGGATGAGGCAGACAGGTGGGTACACAGCCAGTCTGAGGGTTGACAGGGTGGAATGCCTTGTGCTGGATGAGGCAGACAGCTGGGTACACAGCCAGTCTGAGGGTGGACAGGGTGGAGTTCCTTGTGCTGGATGAGGCAGACAGGTGGGTACACAGCCGGTTTGAGGGTGGACAGGGTGGAGGTCCTTGTGCTGGATGAGGCAGACAGGTTGGTACACAGCCAGTCTGAGGGTGGACAGGGTGGAATTCCTTGTGCTGGATGGGGCAGACAGTGTGGGTTTTTTTATCATATCTTTATGTTCTTGCTGTCATTTCAGACTTTGTGACCTTGGATATGAAAAACACATTGCCCAAATTGTGACAGCGTTGAACACACGGAGCAACCATGGTCGCCAGACTATCCTTCTGTCCGCCACTCTGTCTGATGGTAACTATTCCTTCACATGACAGCTCTTGTCATGTGGCAGTTATTATCCCCCACTTAGTGCAAAACGTGCGGCGGCGGATAATAATAGTACTAGGCTCCATTCGTCTGTCCGTACGTACGTATCTACGAATTGGAATATCTTAAGAACCGTTGACTAGATTCTTTTCATATTTGGTACCTAGGTTCATCACAGTATGCGAAAGGTCCAGTCAGGGTTGGTGACCTTGACCTTCATTTCAAGGTCACAAGGGGACATTAACGTTATACCCTTGTCTACGAGATATCTCAAGAACCGTTGACTGGATTTCTTCATGTTTGACACCTAGCTTCATCTAGGGAAGGTGCAGGGCCCAGTCGATTTTGGTGACCTTCACTTAATCTTCAAAGTGATGGCGACACTTTGAAGATTTTAGCATGCTAACCTGCATGCTCAGCTTGTTAGTGATATCTCAAGAACCAAAAACTGCATTTTCGTAATTACTAGTTTTGCATATTTCATACACCATGACATTCATGTCAAGGTCAAAGTGAGTCTTGAAAATATTTGTGTGTTTGAACAACTACAGAGCAAGATATCAAGAGAGGTTGATTGGTCATGCTTTTTGTTGTCATTTAACTTCATCTTAA